CTTCTTAAATGATGATCTCAGGAGGGCAAGTCTTAATGCACAAACCCCTTTCAAGTCTCTACTTAATGCATATTTTTTACTATCCATCAAGGAAGGCAAACCCAGAAACAATGTGGAAGAGGTCTCAAGAGCCAAGGTAACAAATTTTTCAAGAGTTTCCAAGTATTTTATGAGAGAAAGGGAGAGGGAGCTAGTTCTTATGCATGTCAGGAGCTCAGTTTTAGAGTCATCCTAAGTTATGTCCAAAAGAGCCACTTGTAAGGGCAGAGGCCAGCAAAGGGGAGAGGGTGACATAAAGGCATAGACAGAGGGAAGCACATTCACAGGGGCCATTACTGTACAATGTAGCACATCATTGTTAAATGTTAGTTGCAGGAATGATAGACTGGATGTTTGTATCCTCCCACAATTCACGTTAAATTCTAATACGCAATGTGATAGTATTTGGAGGTGGTGCCTTTGGTAGATGATTGGGTCATGAGAACAGCACCCTCACCGATGGGATGAGTGTCCTTATAAAAGAGGCATGAGAGAGATCCCTTGCTCCTGCCTTGTGAAGACACAACAAAAAGATACCTTTTATGAACCTGGAACGGGGCTGTCACCAGATCCAGATACTGTGGATGCTTTCCTTGATCTTGGACTTCCTAGCCTTCAGAACTGTGAGAAATAGATTACCATTGTTTATAAACTACCTAATCTAGGGTATTTTCCAGCCACATGAATAGACTAAAACTGGAAACTTCCAGCTCTTTTTCTAGGGCATACAAGCATATTCACAACTATTGCGCCAGATGGGGATTTCAACTCTGGGCAAGTTCACTCTGGATTCGCTGAGACCAAGTGACGACAACAGAATGTTGGACGTAAAAGGGTTAATACCAAGCTTTATTCTCACAGTGGCAGGTCCAGTGCTAGAATCATATTTGCAAGTGGCAAGTTTGCAATTCCCCTGAGCTTCTATCTCTGCCAGCCCAACACAGCACTGGGTGGAGCTCTTATAAAGGCTCACTGTCAACACATGTGCAAGCACATGCCTGTGGGCACTGTGTGTGCAGTGGGGAAGTAGATTAGGGTTAGGTGAGGATCCTGCCCACAGGAACTTGCATTTTCCCTACAGGAAACACATATTCTGAATAGATGGGATGATTGATTTATGTTTGCTTAAAAAAGTGAAACGTCACTAAATATGTGCAAAAAATCCAACTGCAATTGGAAATGACTCATGAGCTATATTACAGAGATCCAGAACTTAACATAATTACTCAACAGAATTGTACTGAGTGCCCACTTTTTCTAATAATCCAACAGTACAATTGTGGAAAAATTAACCTGTAGAAAAACTACATGGATCTGTAAGATAAAGTCCCAGTTTCATTCCTTTGTGTGTGGCCCTCCAACTATAGAAATAAATAAGCAGTTTTAAACATAGGATATGACATTATATGTGCTCAAGATTTATTAGATTTTATCCCTACCTTCCCCTGCTAAATAAGGAATATGTAATTCAAATTATTGAGTAAACAAAATTATATAATAAGAATATATTTACTATAGATAGCAAGACTGAAGAATCACTTTACAAATAGGGTTCCCAGCATGCCTAGGAGACAGCATAACTGTTAAGAACATGTCTTCCAGCCAGAAAGAT